TATGTTTTATTCTCAGGTCCAAAAATAAAGGAAAATGCGTGAGAGCTCGAATGCTTAGAGCTCGAATGGCACAGAAAATATTATCTTACTGGTAAGAGAATAAAAAAAAATCCTAAAACGACGTCGTTTTGAGATTTCGAGTCATTCGAGCCGTTGATATTTCGAGCTACGTAGCGGAGTTGAAAAATAAAATAAAAAAAATATCAAATCCACTCATATGACTGACATAATATTTTTGTCATATTTTAAAATTAAATAATAATATTTCTTTAGTGGTTTGGGTGCCTCTTTTGTAAGTTTTCTGAATGAAACTATATATTCAATTGTGTATCTTTAGAAGGAGGTCACCAATTTATATAACCCTAAGCCTATGATGGAAAAAAGAAAATACGAAAAAGGAAATATAGCCAAATAGTAACACCACCACAATCTTTCCTAATTCTATATACAATACAATCTTCCATAATTCTATACACAATATATTTCTCACATTACCGTAGTGGTTCAAATTTTGTAACTAATTAATTTAGATAAACCATAAAATTTTGTAATAAAATATGGACATGAATATAGGTGGGCTGGCCCAAGCCGGGCCCCTATGGACCAAACATGAGTAGACTCGGGCTTTGTAGATGGTAACCAACGTACAGTGGGCTTAGCAGACTATAACACGGGTGATTTTATTTGTACTTAAATAATAATTGAATATGTTGGATTACAATTTTAAAATTTTAATTCTTATTATATGTTAATATAAATTTATTAATAAAGATAATACACATTAAACTCTAAAATAATTTTTTTTTTCCTATGATATGCCCAAACCACTCATACATATTGTTCATATTCAACTCTTTTTATCTTTTTTCTTAAATTTCAATTATTTTCTCATCATTTTCTTTCTTATTCCAAAACTCCAATCTTCTCCAACAAAACTCATAATTATTATCAATTCAAAGGTGAACCAAGAGAGTCTTTCAGTTGCAACACGATATGGTATCCGTAGCATCTCAACCGTCATAATCTTCAAGAATGGAGAGAAGAAAGATGGAGTTATTGGTGCTGTTTCCAAGTCAACACTGACCAGCAGCATAGAAAATTTCTTTCCAGCAAGGTTAGGAATCATGAAAAATATTTTATAAAAATAATTATGAAAGTTTTGTGATTTTTACATTACACTTAGAATAAAGCACCACACACTAATTAAGATAATGCAAGAATCATAAATTTTTTATAATCATTTTCATGAAAAAATTTTCATGATCCCTAACTTTTCTCATTTCTTGTAGAGACGGTAAGATATATTAATTCTTAGGTGCCGTTTGGTAACACTTACGTTTTCAGTTTTCTGTTTATATTTACAAAAATTTTAAAAATTCAAATAAAAACTTGTTTGGTAAATTTTTGATTTATAAATTAATGGTTTCAGTTTATAAATTTGGCCAAAAAATGAGAACACAAAAAATGAGTTTACGTTTTGAGTTTTTCTTTTTTAACCACCCAACACTAGCCACCACGTGCCACTATTTTCCACCATTGTCTTCTGCCACCACCACCACCACCCACCACCACCTGCCACCACCACTCACCACCCACCTGCCACCACCACCCACCACCCGCCGTAATCACTCCTGGATGTGTGTCTCGAATCTTCATTATTGTTAATCCTTTCTTATCGTTTTCTTAGAGGGTCAAAGTGACACCGTGATTGGATATATGTAATTTCTTATACACTAATAGTTTTTTGGGGTAATTACCAACCAGTCCTATTAAGTAGACTTAAATACCATTAAGTCTTATTGACTGTTTGAATGCACCAATAAGTCTTGCAATACTTATACCTATCAAGTTCTTTCATCTTCTCTCTCTCTCTCTCTCTCTCTCTTCACCATTTTCCCAAAAGCTTCACACCACCATTGTCTACCGCCGCTGCCACCATCACCACTGTCGTTGTCATCCACCCATCATCTTCTCTTCTCTTCTCTTCTCTTCTCCTCTCTCTCTCTCTTTACCATTTTTCCAAAAGCTTCACACCACTATTGTCTACCACCATCGCTGTCTACCCACCACCACCACCACTACCACCCACCCGTCACCACCTGCCACCACCAGCTACCCACCACCCATCGTCACCACTTTCCACCACTATCTTCCACCGCCACTTGCCACCACTTGTCATTTCTCACTCTTTTTTATATTTTTAAATTTTTTAAAACATTTTGTCAATTACTAAACGCATTTGTAGTTTATGTTTTTCTAAAAATAAATAAAAAATAAACAAAAATTAATTTATAAAATTTTTATAAATATAAACTGAAAACGTAAACGTTACAAATCAGGCATTAGTGAAGCAATTTGAGAAAAAAATATGCTCTTGTATAGTTACTGCTGCTGTATTTCCTGTTGGAGTTTTTAATTTGTTATTATTTGGATGTATCTTGAAAGAAATTTGAGAAAAAAATATATAGTGTATTGAGAGTAAATTATAATATTAAATAATTTAATAGTGTATTGAGAAATTAGACTTATTTACGTTGTGTTTGATCAGGAAATTTGAAAAGAGAAAAAAAAATAAAAAAAAATATGTGAAATGAGAATAAAATATATCTATATTTTATGTAATTTTATACTCAATTTCTATTTTTGTTTCTAAATCTCTTTCTAAATTCCTCAACCAAATACAGTATCAGTGTGTTTGGTTTTAATTTTCTGAATTCGGTTTTTTAAAAATTAAGTTTTTTGTTCTTTGTATTTTTTTTTAGTGAATATTTTTAAAATTTTAAGTAAATTTTTTACTTTTTTAGATGTATTTTACGTAAATGTATCTAAATAGTAAAATATTTGTGAGAAAATATTTTAAAAAATTAATAAATACACAAAAATATAAAAAAAAAAATGCATGGAATTTTTGTTGTTTTTGTATTTTTTGATATTTAGTGTATTTTTTTAAAAAATTTTTACAAATATTATACTTATTAAGTATATTTATGTTAGGTGTGTTTAAAAATTAAAAAAAAAATCTTAAAATATTAAAAATATTCATTAAAAATATTAAAATACAAAAAATAAAAAAATAAAATTTTTTAAAAATTATTTTCTGAAAACCAAAACTAAACTAAGTGATAAATTTTTGGGTGCGAATAGAATTCCCTATCAAACCAATTTACAGTCCTACTCTATTGGCTGAGCAAGTTCCAATAAAGAAGATTACATGTTCTCTGATGAAAACTTTGTGGCACAATTTTTGCATCATACATATGAGGATCGGAATCGTGAAAATTATAGTTGATTTGAGGTGGTGCAAAAAGAAAACAGAAAAAATAAATGAAATAATCTTTTTTAAACCATTATATTAGAAAAATACTATATTTCTTAAATTTTCTATTAAATAAATAATCAAATATTTCATATAGGTATGTAATATTAAAAGAAATGTTATACGTTTCAAATTTTTTACCAAACAAATGACCAAAAGTTTTACACCAAACAAATGACCAAAAATTTCACATAAATGTGAAATCTACAAAATTATAGACCCACACGCATATAAAACATTTAGGCTTTGTTTGACATGATCTAAAAAAGTCAAAAAGTCATTATCCTATTTAAGTCACATCATCTCATTAAAGTCATATCACCTCTCTAACACATCACTTCAAACCCAACTCATACTTCATAAAAAGTCAAAAAGTACAGTTATTTAGATCATCTCAAATCAACCCTTAATCAGTTACTTAGGTGTCGTTTGGTAAACTTGGCTTTTTTGATTTTTTTAACTTAAGATTTTTTTATTCGTTTGGTTTTCTTATTTGATTTTTTTGACTTTTTTACATTGGAATGACAAATATACCCTCCACTTAGAAATGATAATTTTTTTACTTTTTATTTATATATGAGTCAATTTAATAATTTTACATTAAAAGTTAAGTATTTTATCATTTATGATTTTGTGATTTTTTTTTGCCTTTATATGTTTATATAGGACCAATATATTTACCAACCGAAAGCTTAGTAAAAAATTTAACATTTTTAACATTACCCATTATATTACTGTGGCAAGGGCTCTGCTCTTCCTCACCAACCCTTCTTTTGGAAATTCGTGAATATGCCTCGAGAACCATATAAAAATAATAAAAAATTAATTTTCAACAATTCAATTATTTGTCTAAAAAAATGTCTCTATATTAAAATTTTGCATTAATTTTTCAACAATGTTAGAGGATTATAATTTTTGTGGTCATAATAGCTCAAAATTGTCAAAATGACATCATTTTGGGTGCAAAACGACGTCGTTTTGGGTGCAAAACATGCCAAAACGATATCGTTTTGACAATTTTGAGCCATTGTGATCACAAAAATTGTAACCCTCAAACATTTTCTTTAATTTTTATGCAAAACATAATTTGAGAAATTCTATTTTGCCAGAGCAAAATGAGAGAGACATACCCACACTCTCAAATCAACTCTTAATCAGTTATTTAAGTGTCGTTTGGTAAACTTGACTTTTTGACTTTTTTAACCTGAGACTTTTTTGTTCGTTTGGTTTTCTTATTTGATTTTTCTAACTTTTTTACATTGAAATGACAAATATGCCCTCCACTTAGAAATAATAATTTTTTTTACTTTTTATTTGTATATGAGTCAATTTAATAATTTTACATTAAAAGTTAAATATTTTATCATTTATGATTTTGTGACTTTTTTTTAACCTTATACTTATATAGTCCGAATATATTTACCAACCGAAAGCTTAGTAAAAAATTTAACATTTTTAACATTACCCATTATATTACTGTGGCAAGGGCTCTGCTCTTCCTCACCAACCCTTCTTTTGGGAATTCGTGAATATGCCTCGAGAACCATATAAAAATAATAAAAAAATAATTTTCAACAATTCAATTATTTGTCCAAAAAAATGTCTCTATAGTGAAATTTTGCATTAATTTTTATGCAAAACATAATTTGAGAAATTCTATTTTGCCAGAGCAAAATGAGAGAGACATACCCACACTCTCCCCTCATTTTTTTTTCGAATAAATTATGACGAATAACGCAAATCATTGAAGAAAATAATGCCTAACATTGATCAAATATAACTAAATAAAAAATAAAAAGGTGTGCAATTTTGTAACCTTATTTGCCTTGAGAAATTTATTTAATTTATACATTAAACTATCTTCCTATGATTAAAAAAAATCAAAGGACAAATTTTTAGTCAAATCTCAATTAAAAGGACTCTCTACCCTATACTAGACTTAGATAAACTTTTAGTCAAATTTAAATTAAAAGGACTCTCTACCCTATTCTAAATTTTTTTTTATCAAAAACAAAAGCAACTAGGGTTAGAAAATACCAAGTGGGTCCCACCCCATCCAGTCTTCAAGAAGAATTCACTTTTGATAATAATGCCAGTCAGTGCAGTATCAAACATTCTGTTTACCAGCTTTCTTCAATCCCAAAACCTTCTTAAATTTCCTAATCACATTGCTAATTCCACACTTTGCCTTCTTAACCACCACAGTCCTCAACGGCACCGTTTTCGCCATCTTCCCCTTAAACGACGTCGTTATTTTCTTATTCTCCACCTTCAACTGTAACACGAAATTCCCCAGCGAATCCCCAGCGCCAGCTCTATCGAAAGCCACCACCATTTCTGGGCACCAATACTTCATCGTCGCCTTGAAATTTCTCGACACTTTGATCGATTTCGAATTACAAACCGACCCATTTTCACTATACAACCCAACTCTAACTCTACCATCCACATACGCACTACACGCAGCCAATATGTTCCTTGCTCGTTCCCGAAAATGCGAAGCCACGAAGCCTTCGAAGTTCTTCGGAGGCTTTCGAAGCAAGTACACCATGGTTTTGCAAGACAATACAAACGCGTTCTCATTGTAAACCATCGATTTCCTAGCCCGACCCGGAAAAATCCCGACGCCTGGTTCGTTGAAATACGGGTCTTTGTTTAGAACCAGGCCTTGGATCGAGACCAGAACTTGGAGCACCGTGGACTCATCTGGGTTCCATTTCTCGGTCCTCTTGCCGTACCATGTGTTGAGGAGGCTGAGACAGACCATCCCAGTGGCGTAGAGGTTCGGGTTGAGTCGGAGCCCGAATGACCGGTACATGACCATGGGCGGGAGGGTCGGGTAGTCCGAGGGGAAGGCGATATCGAAGAAGAAGAGACCGTCGTGGTAGGGTGTGCCGGCGGGGCCGACGATTACGGCCCGGAGGAGGTCGATGCGGCGCTCGTAGACTCGGACGTAGATCGAATCAGGGAGGTTTCTTTCCAGTACTTTCCACTCCTTCATGATCTTCTTGTAGACACCGCTTGATGCATTGGAGAAGCAATCTGGGCCGTTGCTTGTTTTGCCGATTTTGTTGTTCCAGTTGAGATAGTGGTGATCGGAGTCGTCGCTGACCACATCGAATTGCCGGAATTGAGTGGTTGTGCCGTCTTCTTGGATCTCTGCATTTGGGTTCACTGAGAGAGCCATTGATGAATTGAATTCAATAGTTCACAGGGGGAGAGAGAGAGAGAGAGAGAAGAGAGAGAATTTTTTTCAAAGCAAGGTAAGGTGTAGTGGAATCTTTGTGATTTTGGTTAGAGAAAAGCAAGTAAATGGGTCCTACAGTAAGCTCACTTGGACGGTGATGGATCCCCTAACTTTTTCATCAGCTACCGTCTGATTTTTTTTTTTTTTTTAAGGTACAACGGAAAATAGCTGCCGCCTGATCAAATGGGTATACTAAACATATGTGGAGGGTTGGTTTGAAAAGAATATTTTTGACTTGACTTTTTAATTTTTTTGGATTAATTTTGTCTTGCTAAAATAGTTTGGTTTAGAAAGAATTTTTTAATATTTTTTTACTTTTTTATGAAAAGAATGATGAAATAATTATAATTTATATGTAATATTTTATTTTATTAATTTATTTAGCCTATTTCATATTTTTATACTTTTTTTTTCTCCCAACCTAAACCTGCAAACGGGATAGAGGAGCAATTTGAAAACTTAGTAAAAGGTCAACTTTTATGTAGGGATGGCAATTTAAACCCAGCCCGATGGGGACCTGACTCCCTGACCCCAATTTGAGCGATTTTTCCCGAAAAATATTTCCAACGGGACGGGAATGATATTTAAAAATCAATCCCCGATTAGATTCGGGTCGAGGACGGGGATAAGTATCCCAGTCCCGTACCCGGCCTCATCTCCATCCTCGTTTGTCCCCGAAGTGAAATTAGTAGTTTACCCCTATATATATATACACATATGGTAAACTCTCGTCCTCATATCTCAATTCTGTCTTCCGTCGTGTCTCTCTTTTTCTCTATTCCCTCTACTTTTTCTCTCACTCTCATTCTCACACTGGTCGCGACGCCGATCGTCACTGTCTGCCACGTCGATCGGCCTCCTTCGTCGTCTATGGCCTCCATCGTCGTAGTCATACCATCCATCGCCTCCGAATCTCCGATCGTCCTTCTCCTCCTTCGTCCACCATCACCTCCTCCGATCTCCTCTGTCGTTCATCGTCGCCGATCGTCCACTCTCTCTCTCTCTCTGTGACACAGATACACAAATCTATATGTGTGTATCATCCTCCTCCATCTGCATGTGTTGATGATCCTTTCTCTCTCTCTTTGTGACACAGATCTCAGATCTGTTTGTGTATGTATACATGTATGTTTGTGTGTCTGCCCATTTTTATTTATTTATTTGTTTTTTTGTTTATGATCTATTGATGATTTTGTTAATATGTTGATATTAAAATTGATATGTTGATGTTGGTGATTCTGTTGATGATGTTGTTGTTGATGATGGTGGTATTGAAACAGATTTGAGGAGCGGGGAATTTTCGAGGTCGGGAAAACTCGATCCCCGTTAGGGAGCAGGGAAGGGGACAGTGGTAGGTTCCTCGTCGGGGATCGGGGCCGGGGAGATTTTCATAATCGGGGATCGGGGACAGAGAGTGTGATCCCCGGCCCCGCCCCGCCTTGCCCCGCCCCGTTGCCATTCATAACTTTTTGGCATTTTACCAAGTTCTTCCAAAAAAACTACAAAAAAGTCACTAAAAAATCAATTTTTTTTGTCAAAAAAACCATCAAAAAAGTCAAAAATTCAAAAAACTAACTTTTATAAACTTCTCAAAACGAGCCCTCTCCTCAGCCTACATGTACACAATTGGACTATTATTAGAAGTCTTTTGCTTTTCTGAATTTTCATTGAATAAAAAAAAAGTCTTTTTTATTTTATTTTATTTTATTTTAAATGGTACACCTTGTCAAGTTTTGTGTTTAGATGATTCCTAATAAAATTTTAAAATATAAATCTTATTTTGTTTTTAAAGATAAATCTAATTATAATTTTCAAATCAATTTAATTTTATTTTATTTTATTTTATTTTTTTATAAATGATCTATGTAGAAAAAGTTGACAAGTTGAACAATTAAAATTACCAAATGTGACTCATAGAAGTCTTTTTTATTTTTGTTGACTTTTTTGACTTTCGAAGGTTAATATTGTAATTTTAAGCGTGCCAGCAAGGATCAATCAGTCCTTACAAAAGATTAATTACCAACCAATTATCAGACGATTGTGTTTTAATTCTTTCAGCCTCAATGAAAATGACTTTTATTGGTGACTTGTTTAAGAGAATTTAGTAAACAACAATTAAGTGAAGAAAATCGCAGAATTTCATTAAGTAAAAATGAAAAACTTACAATGATCTGACCCAATCTCATAGAGGTTTACAACAATAAGTTATTTGAAACTACTCCTATGAATGAAGTGCAATATAGGAATTCGAAGTACAGAAACATAAAGAATTGTAAAAACTGGAAAGGAAAATAAAGTAGATAAAACTAATTTTTGATTTGAGTCTGGATCCTCCTTTTCTGGGGCCTTCTCTGCTATTTATACTTCTCAATGATTACCGTCGAAATAGGCTCCTAGCCATCAAAATGTCCCTTCATGATCGCTGAACATACTCCTCACAGTCAGTCCCACTACGCCATGTTTTGCAGTTAGGCTTCCCTCCTGATTTTGAATTTGAACCTTGTGAATAACCGTTTAGGCCACATCACCTTAAATCCCTCAATCATTCTAGTACCACGAAGACCCATTATTACCAGTATAGGTTGACACGTGTCTGACTATGGTTGGCACTTTGCATTACCTCTCCAAATTACCCCTTTCATGCCACGTGTCAAATTGTGATTGGCTTATACAAATTACACAGCCAACATTACTCCCCGTACTAATATACCCAATACTTGGTGATATTAGTGGATCAAAGCACTTTACCCACGTCCTAGGATGTGTATGGGCTTTGTATCTTCTTAGAACTACAACCGACTGCATTAAATTCTTTTCTACACCTTGAACATTTCCCACTATTTGAGCATTCGAAAAGACTGGTACAGTTCACGTGGCCAAACATACCTTCTTTGACACAGATCAAGCATACGAAGAGTTGTTAGATAATGATGTTTGCTCTCGAAAGAATTTTCATGCATTTATTAGCCACACCTTCCATCTCCATTTATTCAAATCATGGAAGCTTTTGCAAATTATCGACCTTTGGATCACGAACCTATTGTTCATAATTCTTTAGTCCAAGACTTTACAAAAATGGATATTGAAAGCTCTTCTTCTACCCCAAAACCTTATGCATGGGATGAAGCTGTGGCTTCCTCTTCTTCTTCTAAAGCTTTTGGCTGGGAAAGCTTGCCAGAACTTGAGAAATCCAAGCTAAAAGAGCGAATTAACCATCGATTCGTTGAATTCGCTGATCCTCTATCTTTCCTCCCTTTCCTCCCTTTGCTCGGAGCTCGGTGGTTTACTTCTATGTATCTATCGATCGCCGACGCAGTTTGGAAGACAACTTACTTATAGTATGGTACACATCTTCCATGCCTACGAAGATAGTGCAAGCCACTTGTTATCCAGAGGAAGCACAAGGGTATAGCCCGTCATTCTTAGCCCAAAGGGCAAAATTTTGCTCTTCTGACTAGCTTGATTGTGTAAATAACCCCCAGTTCCCTTCTTCCTTTGAGGTGGATCCTCCTGCACCTCCTCTTCCTCAAAACCCTCACTAGATGAAAGAATTGAGACTTACTTTCTTTGAGAATCAATTTCTTCCTTCCTACGAACCTTCAGCTCCCCCCACTATATTTGAGTGATATCAAGCTCAGCTTCTGCTTGTAGCCTTTTCTCACTTGCCCTTCAATGTTCTTAGGGGTGAAGTTCCTCTTAAGAACTTTCGATGGGCTTGTGACATTATGACTCGGGGTCATATCCTTAACCCCATTGCTCAAGTAGAACTTCAGATGATATGCTTCCCAAGGCAAGACTCTATGAACTTGATATGGTCATTCTCAATTAGGTGACCATTTGCCAAACTTATGGCTTTTAATTCCTATTGGGAGTATTGTCTTTCATACTAAATCACCTTCATCAAAGCTAACGTGCTTGACTTTCTTATTATAGTTTTTGGCTGCTTTCTTCTTTTGGAAAAGAATGCTATTTAATGCCAAAATTCTAGGTTCATCCACATTCTCTAATTCCAAGAACATACTCTGATTGTACTGCTCAGGAACTAACTGATCCTGGCATCTCACCCTCAAAGACTTGATATTAATTTCTATAGGTAACACTGCATCATGCCCATATATTAAGGCATAAAGAGTAACTCTTGTACTTGATCTTGGAGAAGTGCTATAAGCCCATAATACATCTAACAGTAAGTTATGCCAATTCCTAGGATTGTCCTCCATAACCCTCTGTATTCCTTTTTTCAAAGACTTATTGGATGATTCTGCCTAACCATTTGCTTGTGCATAATAAGGGGTAGAATTAACAAGGCTAATTCCAAACTTTGCCACAAAAAAATTTACCATCTTCCCATCAAACACAGTTCCATTATCCACAGTGATGGTCTGTGGGATGCCAAACCTGTGAATCAGATCTTTAATGAATCCAATAACTTCAGTTTGGTCTACAGCCTTATATGGTTTAGCTTCGACCCACTTGCTAAAGTAATTCGTGGCCACTAAGATAAAACAATGATGCTTCGAAGAGGGTAGATGTATTTTTCCTATCATATCCATAGCCCATCCTCTAAATGCCAAGGTTTTACCATTGCATGGAAATCAGTTATTGGTACATGTCTTAATGTGTCATGCGTTTGGCATGCCTGGCAACCTCTAGCATACTCTATACAATCTTTAAGGATGGTTGGCCAATAGTAGGAATGTCTTCGAAGCAGCCATCTCATCTTCGCACCAGGCTGATGAGCACCACAGATTCCTTCATGAACTTTAGCCATCGCTATCAATGCTTCCTTTGGCCCTAAACATTCCAATAATAACTCATTTGCTCCCCTTTTGTAAAGAGCATTACCATACACTATGTATTGCATAGATTGCAATTTGATTTTTCTACTGGCTTTCGAAGATGGGCCAGTTAGGTACTGCATTATTGGATACTCCAATCTTGGTCTTGTAAGCCAATATGATGGACCTCTAACACCACATTCCTTTCATTTAAGGGTGGTATTACTTTTTGATATGTTGC